TACTGGATGAGATGAAATCAGATTCAAGATCTATCTACAACTCAGCAGAAAAGCTACTGCTACGGCTAAGCACAACAGCCAGGGGACTACAGCAAAAGGTCTTCCAGGAGCCATGTTATCCCTTTACTTCATGGTCTTTCTAAACCTCAGCCCACTTTCCCCTGGACTCTGCACGTAATAATGAGAAAACGTCAGTGACATTTGGCTTTTGGTGAAATATTTTATAGTAACAGTTCTTATTATAGTATCTTAGCAAACACCCCTTTCTAAAAGTTAATTAAGTCTGGCTGACTAACTGGCATTAAATATTAATCATGGCGTGGAGTACGCTGGTGAGGCTTCCATCCCCTTGGCGCTAGAGCACTGACTGGATGTAGGAGCCATGCCCTTGGAACCTGATTTGTGAGTATGAGTGGGAGCTGAGATGGTCATCTTGAAACATGTGCTACATCAGTAGGTAACAGCTTGTTCTTAATAAAGGTTTTAAAAAACAATTATGATTTGAGCTTATCCAAAGGCCACTGTCTACTTGGGCAATTTCACACTCTAACATTCAGAAACCTATAATTTGATTCTGAAACCTTAATGTACATTTTATTACCCAGGTATTATGAAGTTTGTAATCAGTTTCTAACATGGTTAAAATACTTGGATTTACTCAGACTTTTATTGTACCTAAGTATGATATATTTGTATGTGCCTGAAATATTCATGTTCCATGCAGTACAAGACCTTTTTCTGCACTACAAATTTTGTTCAATCCATGATTCTTTACATTTTGCTTTAATTTTGTTCAAAATTTCCTTCAATAATTCAACGAATGTTTATTAAGTAACTTTTTTATGTAAGGAATTGTATGCACAAAAGTGAAAAATGACCCATTTCTTGTCCCCAAGGTTTAAATCTAGCTGGGGTATGGGGTGACACAGGTACAGAAATAACTACGATTAGGAAGTGATTAAGGCAAAAGGAGAAGTCAACTAGAGTGTCCTATAAGGTCCAAAGAGGGAGAGATGGCTTATAGCTTAGGCTGTGAAGGAAAGCTTCCTAGAGCAAAGTCACACTTGTACTGGGTCATGAACAATGCCAATGGGTAGAGATGGTGGGAAATCTATTCCAGGAATTGGGAGATGTTACATAGAGGCAGAGACAGGAGAAAGCAGTGCCCAAGTACCTACTTGACCAAACTAGTCAAGTTTGGCTAGAACATAACGATGAGAATTCCTAAAGGCAAATACTATAAAAATAAGGCTGGAAAAGTAGAGTGCCTGTGGGGGTAGCTAGGTGGCGCAGTGCATAGAGCACCAGCCCGGGAGACAAGAGGACCTGAGTTCAAATGTGACCTCAGACACTCAACACTTACGAACTGTGTGGCCCTAGGTGAGTCCTTAATCCTGATTGCCTCTTAAAATTAAAAAAAAAAAAGTACCTGTATAAGCACATTGAAGAATTATAGTAATTATTTCAAAAATCTATGAAAAATCGTGATTAAGAAAAAAGAGGCATTTGGGACCTAACTTATTTTGGTCATCAACATTGACCATTTTCACTGGACCATTGCCTTCCCTTTTCCAATGTACTAATAGTCAAGGGAAAGTGAGCTTCAAGAAAGGGGTTCAATGTTCACAGGATAGCCAAGGCATAGAAAGAATGTTCCCATCTGTGTGAATGAAGAGGGGTCCCAGGATGCTGGCTAGCCACTTGTGCCCTAAGGCAGAAACCTAGTCACTCTACCCTAGTTAGTTATGTCCTCAGGCTTCTAAAATCAAGCAACCTTTGGAATGTTTACATCCAACTTACACAAAAGTGGCCATCCCTTCACGACTCCCTTCCCTTTCAACGTGTTCTCAAAGATATGGAGGCATTATTTCTGTCGTGGGATCTATTATAACAACAACAAAAAACAAAGCCAAGCAAAACAAAACAAACAACCAAACAGACAAACCTTGGAGATTTTAGAGCATCTACGCCTTCAAAAGCAGAGAAAGGAAATGAAATCCTGAAAACAAGAACCCCTTAAGGGAACTAACGAGGAATGGATTTCTAAGCAGGGCCAGTCTGCATACATGGTGCCTGCCTTACATTAAAAAATGCTTAAGCAGTCATGAAACGGCTTCATATGTATTCTTATATACACATATATATATATATATATTCATATAATTCATAGGTATTATTATGATCCTCATCATAACCCATGAAAATTAGTCAAATATCATTATTCCCATTTTATATGCAGGAAAATTCAGATATATCATACACTTTAAGAGAATGGATATGAAGTCTACACTTTCTCATCAAAAAATACACTGCCTTTCAAACTGCTTCCAATAAGTTCTTTTCCCTCACTGCATAAATTTGAGGCTTCACTTTGCTATGCCGTCAGAACAGGACCACTTAAAGATTCATCTGGATTAAGGCACATGAGATCCCTTCCAATTCTGGATCTATAATCCACTGATCTTTTAAAAAATACAAATGCCTCTGGGAGGGGGTATGGTATGACCAGTCATTGACACATTAGTACAAATTAGTTCAGTGGCTTACATTCTTCTGAATCCCTAATTAAGTACAGATACACTGAATAATTTAGATTTTTTTTATTTTTATTTTTTCCTTTTTGTAGGGGTGGGGGGCATGAGGGAAGGAGTGGAGAAGGAAATAAAAACAGTTAATAATTTTGGAACACTGAAGGGCAAAGCAGGCCTGGAAAGGAATCCACAGTGTGGGGATTTAGGGAAACATAACAGTCCTGGAGCTGGGGGTGGGGGTGGGGGGGCTACCAAGAGGTCCCACAATAGAAGGAAGGAAAGGGGTTCAGAAAGGGAAAAAATGGAGTGGCATGAGATAATATCTGTACCTGGTACATAATAGGTGCCATATAAATGCTAGTTACTAATATTAGTAGTAATAAAGACAAACTGCCTATTTCAAGGATTTTTCCTAGAATAGGGCCCACTTCCTCTAAGAGGGAGGATACTGTCTTTACTTCTCTCTTCTACATCGCACGACTCCCTACTTCCAGAATTCAAACTTTGGCCCAGTACTATTAATTACATTAAAGGGTAAGTGAGTTTTTGATTGAGCAGCTAGGTGGTGCAGTGGGCTAGACTGCTGGACCTGGAATCAGGAAGACTCATCTTCCTGAGTTCAAATCTGGCCTCAGATACTTTACTAGCTGGTCAAATCACCTAACCCTGTTGGCCTCAGTTTTCTCACCCATAAAATGAGTTGGAGAAGGCAATGGCAAACCAGTCTCATATCTCTGCCAAAAAAAAGTACCAAATGGCATCACCAAGAATTGGACACAAGTGAAAACAAGTCAACAACAAAAGCTTTTGAACACTGGCCTGGGGATCAAATGAGCATTTATAACATTGGCTCTTTTATGCCGATGTGGGCAGGAAGCCACATCAAGCATCAATCAAGTTTCAGGGACAGGTTTTTTTGTCTTCTAGGGGGAAAACCATCAACAACAAAACTAACTTAGTCTATATGGCAAGGATCCCGGTAGACATTATTCCAGCCACCAACAGGAAAGCACACGAAGAGGAAGAGGTCAGCTCGACCCAGTTATGTAGTCTGGTATCACCACTGACGGAACATGGGTTGGAAACAACATGGTTCTAGTCTCTGGGATGCATCTGAAACTCACTCCACGTACTTCCAGGGATTCCTGGAACTTTCTTTCTTTTTTTTAGAAATCTAATGTAACATATGGAAAAAAATTGGCTAAAAGTCAAATGTCCTGTATTCTGGTAATAGTGCTGAAGCTTATTAACTGTGTGACCTGGAGAGGGTCACTTAATCTCACCAAATGTAACACACAGAATACCTAGCCTATTAGGTGTGTGTGTCTATATGTATCCTGATTGCCTCTTACATGTATGTGTGTATATTAGACATTTATATTATAGCATATTGTTATAGATGTCTATGTGTATGTATATATGTATCGTGCCTATCATGTGTGTATATTAGACATTTATATTATAGCATATTGTTATAGATATATATGTGTATGTATGTATAGTGCCTATTATGTGTGTCTATGCGTATCCTGCTTGCCTCGTATACGTATGTGTATATTAGACATTTATATTAGTCTATTGTTCTAGATGTATATGTGTATGTATATATGTATGTATATGTGTGTGCACATATATGTATACATGTATGTATAGTGCCTATTATGTGCCAAGCACTGTGCTAAGTGCTTTACAAATATTATCTCATTTAATTATCACAACAACCCTGAGAGGTAGGAGCTATTATTATCCCCATTTTACAGGTGAGGAAACTGAGGCAAATAGAGGTTAAGTGACTTGCCCAGGATCAGACAGCTAGAAAATGTCCGAGGATAGATTGAACTCAGGTCTTCCTGACTTCAGGCCTACTACTCCATCCATGGCACCATGTCATTTCCTTGTCTCACTTTCTATGTCTGTAAAATGGGGGTGATATTTTTCCTGCCTGTGTTATAAGGTAAATGCAATGTATATGATATAAATATGTATATGTATGTGTGTGTATGTGTGTATATATGCAAACATATACATGAGTGGACTCTTAACATATAATAGATTACTATTTTCAGCATCAAGAGGACCTCCAAGTCCCATGTCTGATACTGACACAATTTTTTTCTCTCTCTCCCCTCACATACATATATAATGTATACATATATGAACAGGGAAGAACTGACACTGAATTTAAATTAACAGTATATATGAGGGGCAGCTAGGTGGCACAGTGGATAGAGCACCGGCCCTGAAGTCAGGAGGACCTGAGTTCAAATCCAATCTCAGAACAAACACTTGACACTTACTAGCTGTGTGACCCTGGGCAAGTCACTCAACCCCAGTTGCCTTAAAGAAAACGAAAACACAGCATATGTGAGAAAAATGCTTTGAAAACTATGAAGTGTACATGAATCGCATCAACTGAGTTACCCCAACTAATTACTATCTTCACTTTTAAGTACAACATAGCTTACTTACCAGCTCTAAAAATTCCCTCACCACCTGCCGCTGTTTCAAATTGGTTTCTCCATCCAGGTTGGCTGTTTCAATGTGACAGAGACCATCAGGGTCACTCGAAGAAAGCAGCAATATGTCAGCAGGTATGATCTCATTACATCGAAGCTGAACAAAATCTCCAACTCGGACTTCTTTCCAGTATCGGTTCACAAATTTCTTTTCATCCCTAGAGTCATTACAAAAACAGGTTAAAATATGCTAATCTTGATTCAAATTATGGATGATTATAAAGAACAGGCAATCCTGAAACTGACAATGTACTATTTGAAACATATGTGCTTTTCATAGTTAGGGTGTCCCAAAAGTCTAAGTACAATTTTAAACCTGGAGCACCAGTTTTCTGCGGTACCCTTTGTGTATATATTTGCATGTGTGTATGTGTGTGTGTGCATGTGTGTGTGTGTGTGTGGTGTAAACAAAGATATATGCTAATATGTACATGCGCATTCTAGCCATTCCAGAAATCAATTGAGAACCAATAAGCCCCCCAAATCGCTAAATTATGAATAATGCTTTTTTGGTCCAGTAATAGCACTACCAGGCCTACTCCTCAAAGGAGTCAAAGAAAAAGGAAAAGAACCCACGTAAATTAAAACAAAAATTATTTGTAATAGCTCTTTCTGTGGCAGCAAAGAAGTGGTAAGGAAGGATTTACCCATCAATTGGGGAATGGGAGAACAAGTGATAGTATATGAATATAATAGAATACTATTCTGCTGTAAGAAATAAAGAAAGAACAATTTTAGAGAAATCTGCGAAGGTTCTATGAAATGATATAACGGGAAGTGAGCATAACGAGGAAAATAATTTATAAAATAACATTGAAAAGAAAAATATCTTTGAAAGTTTTAAGAACTCCAATCAATGCAATGACTAACCACAAACCCTAGCACATAGTAGGTTTTTAATAAATGCCAACTGATTGACTGATGAAGCATGCTACCCATCTCCTGCCTGCTAGGCAGTGAATACAAGAGGTGGAATGAGATATGAATTTCTGGACACGGTTAACTCAGTAATTTTTTTCCTTGACAATGCATATTTGTTACAATAGTCTTTCTCTCTCCCTCCCTTTCCCTCTGCCATCCTCCTTAACTCCTAACCCCTCAAAGGGAAAAAATGAAGACAGAAAATAAATGTTTGTCAATTGAAAATTTTTTATTAAGACATACAGACATTAATTCAATAAACATTGACCAACTACTGTATGCAAGACGCTATGCTAGGCACTTTGGAGAATGTAAAAATAAGTAAAAATAGAAGAAGCTTAAAATCCGGAGGGTGGAATAGGAAACACTGGAACAAGTCATTATCTGATGGCTTCTTTAGTTTGGGGAACTTTTAGTTTTAGTTTCTTTTAGTTTTGGTGTTTTGTTTGTTTTGCTTTTGAGAAATTATGAAAAACACCACATTGAAACAGCCTTATAAAGCCAAATTCACCCCATATTTAAGTGTACTTTAATGCTTAAAGAATCTGTGGCTTTAACAGCATATATTCTCCTTTCATCAACACAGATCACAATCCCCTCTTAATATGTAGTACATAATCTTCATGAGGTGCTAGGATAAAAACAAAATCCACCACCCTGAGGCCAATATGGTCATGAGTCTTCTGAACTACACTAGGCTAGTCCTCAGATTATGTACATGAAGCTTATAACTAGGCCCATATTAAAAGCCCGGCAAGCTTGCTAAGACCTGGGAAAACTAGAACTCTGATGGCATTGCCTTCAAATATTCCAGCTTAGCCAAGTCATGGTGGTACACCCTTGTAAGTTCCTGCTGCTAGGAAGGCTAAGACTAAGGGATTGCTGGAGTTCAGGAGTTGGGTTAAAGCTGATTGATTAGGTACCTGCGCTCAGTCCAGCACAATTACAGTGAGCTCCCAGGATCAGGGCCACCAGGCTATCTAACAAAGGGTGAACTTACCAGGCTGAAAAAATAACAACCACCAAACAGCCAATTAAAACTTCAGTAAAAAGTCTGAGTCTAAGCATAGCTCCTGCCCTTACAGCCAGTGAGAGACAGTGAGATCCTTTATCTCTCTCCCCCAAAGAATTCAAAATCATAATTTCGAGCCAGAGTAGTACTTTTGGTAGAAGATGAACATAGAGTAACATTCACAGACATCAAAATAGTATACTATTTCCCTGCATTACCAACAAAGCCCAGCAGGAAGAAATAGAAAGAGAAGTCCCATTTAAAACTACCACAAATAGTACAAAATACTTGGAAGTCTGCGAAGACACACACAGACAATGTGAACACAACAACAAAACGCTCTTTACATAAAGACAGATCTAAATAACTGGAAAAATATCAATTGCTCGTGAATAGGCTGAGCCAATATAATAAAAATTATAATATTACTAAATTAATTTACTTATTGTAGTATAAATCAAAGAATTGATTTATAGACTTAAATAATAACAAACCTGGATCTGGAAGACCAAAAGGTCAAGAATATCAGGGAATCAAACAAAAAACAAAAACAAAAACAAAACAAAGGAAGGAGACTTAGTAGCGGCAGAGAAACCGATTCTGTTCCAAAGAGATTGCCCACATGTTCTTTATGCAACAGTTTACATACTTCTCTTAGCTTCCTTGAAGGTGAACCATAAACATAAAACTCTGGAAGAGGTAAAGGCCCATTTTGTTTCCATAAATTAGAGACTTGATAGACCTTATCACTCATTACTTATATAGAGTGCAAGAGGGCACAAGAAAACATAGAGTCAGTGATTCCAGGACAAGCATTTAAGCCTGTCAAAGCTGCTAAAAATTATGTTAATTTTAATGCATCGCCATATGATCATGTGGGAGTTTGTGTTCACTCAGAACAAAAAAACTCTCCTGATGGTCACATAAAAAGAATGCCTCTGATGTGTTACCATTTTCATCCTCATTAAGTGTGTTCTGGGGCAGAGTGTTAAAAGTAAACACAAAATAATACAACATAAGCAATCTAATCTATCTCCTTGAACAAATGGCAAGGTTATTAGGATTATGAATGGCTTCTTGGAAATAAATGAAGAATGCATTTGACTGCAAAGGCTTTCTCAGTTAATAGAAATTAATACAATGGCCTAGGGAAAAAAATCTTCACAACTTTTTAACAAACTTTCTCAGGAGTTGTTTTTTTGCAAGAAGGATAATGGTAGTCATCCTTCCCATTCTCTGGTGCTATTTCAGCACAATAACACCAGCATTATTCATTATTAGTGAAAAAAGTTTCATCCCTACATCCAGAATTGTTGCAACTAGTGTTAAGGATTTTGAGTCAATCATGAGATTAGCAAACCTATTAGATGGAAGACGGGGAGTTAGAGAACAGAACAAGCACTGAGTAGTCACTTGCTGTATGCCAGGCACTGTCCTATTACTTTGTATAGATTATCTCATTTGGTTCTTACAATAACCCTGTAAGGTAAGTGCTATTCATATCCCCATTTTACAGTTGAGGAAAAATGAGGCAGACAGAGGTTAGGTAACCTGCCCAGGGTCACAAAGATAAAAAGTATCCAAGGCCACATTAAAACTCAAGTCTTCCTGACTCCAGACATTCAAATATACACACATACATAATCATCAAACACAACACACACACACACACACACACACACATACATATATGCATGTACATATGCTCGTGCAAAATATATGGCTAATGTCTATCAAATCAACAAATATTTGCTGACTCTATGATATGTAACATATGGTGCCAGGCACTGGAGGACGTACAGAGCAAGAAAATACAAAGAACTTAAGATTTTCAGGATGTAATAGGAAACATAAGGAAAAAATCCTGTAATTCAAGACAGAATACAGTATGTAGCATGATCAGAAAGGTACAAACAAAATGTTATTCATGTTCACTTGCTAAACAAATAAATTTGGGGCAATGTAATTCTTTGATGATTAATATTGTTAAAGAATACTGCGTCTTACTGTATACTGAATGTATGATGTGTTAGAGCTTGGGAGGGAAACAGAAAAAAAAAACAGATAGCAAGTAAATAAAAAAATTAGACTTACAAATACAGGATGTTAAAAGTTTTACAATGGTGAATGCCACCAAATCCAGACAGGCTCAGCCATGCTTCACTTTACATGTTGGCCATCTTCTCACCATTCACCATGTTTTATTTAGAGTTTGTATCAACTCTTCCACACCCATTTCCAGCCATGGAACCGATGATAATTCTGCCACTGCTATTAGAAAGGATTTGTCATTCTATTCCACTCACCATCCCTTTGATTTTCCGTATTAAAACACTCCTCCCTGGCTACCACTCCCCTATATGTGCTGTTCCACATCTTGGTGAATGGGAACTACATGAGGGCAGGGAATGTCTAATTTTTGTATTTATATATTCTCAGCCCTTAGCACAATGCTTGGCACATAGTAAACACTTAGTAAATGCTTTTCATTAATTCATTCATTAACTTAAATTTTCAAATACACAAGGGAAGTATTTCTTCCCAAGAAAAATATGCTTCTGGAGAAAAGAATGCAGGATGGTCTTGGTTAGAATTCAAATGGTTTTTATTCTTTTCACAAAAGGGCTCATAAAAATATATGAATATCATATTGAAATTTGTGCAAACAGATTTCAAAACCCATAGTCTTGGAATATGGACTATTTTGCAACTAATCTTAATACAGAATGCTGCTACTTCATAGAAATGAAACATAAGAAGACTCTTCTCATACATAGTAGGCACTATATAAATGTTTATTCTTCTTTCCCTTCCCTAATAGTCATGATTCCCCATGATTTTGTGTTTACAGTCTTGAATGATCTGAACAGGAACGTAAATGCAAGAGTTCAAAGGAAACTAATAGAAAATTATTTGTGGCTGTATAAAAACATTGGATAAAATGGGAAATAACAGAAATACCATTTAGCCAACTCGTTCTACTTCAACAGGATTCCAACATGAAGTGTGTGAGCAAGTATCAAACTCTTAGCCAACAAAATTACCCAAATTCAGCCTTTTAAGATTATAGTGTAGTTCTAAATCACTACTGATTAGAGAAATGCAAATCAAAACAACTCTGAGGTACCACATCACACCTATCAGATTGGCCAACACAGAAAACAAGAAAATGATAAATGTTGGAGAAGATGTGGGAAAATTGGAACACTAATGCATTGTTGGTGG